CATGTCGGCAGGGTCGCGGCGCTCAGCAGCGCCCGCCGGGCTCCCGAGCACAATGCGGTGCTGCGGACCCGGTGGCCGTGCCGTTGCTACCGAAATCCTTCATAAAATGAGCTGGCGCTCGAGTATTTTTATGTCATCCTGGCTCTTGCCCTCGCCGCTCAAGTCGTTGTCCTTAAACTGCGTTGCGTTCAGGAAGTTTCAGCTAACTTGAGGCACTGACTGCTGATCTGCTCAGTTAATTACGCTAATGCTGTTAATAATGCGTATTAATGTTGCATGTCTGCATTCCACCTGCTTCCTACATTTTTGGACTATGTTTTCTGCTAGAAAGTGATATAACGTTCAGGAACTGATTGCAAAGTCTTGTTTTGAGATACGATTCTGCAAACCCTTTTGTGTAGGTGGTCCCACTTACTGGAATAAGATTTTGCTGATTTGTGCCCCAGATTTGGATTTGAGATTCTGAATTACATTGAAAGCTGTAGGAAGCGATGGAGAATCCATGAGGAAAGAACTCTGTCATTGGGGAGTACTAGAATAGTAGATAGTGACTGCATGCTGCTGTTGAAATGAGAGTTTCATGCATAGGAAGATAGTATTTGTGTAAAGGATTTTTTCCTCCTTTTTTTGCCTTCCTACTTTACCCTCTTCTGATTTTGTTTCAATGTGTTATTTTGCACTGATAGAGATTTTGCAGGCTAACTGTTAGTCTTAAACACGTTGCTTACATTTTTTATATGGATAGCTAGATATTTATTCTTGAGGTGAGTGTTGCTAAGGGAAATAAGACCAAACTCTCATCTGTGATGTAAGTTCTCTATAGTTCAGAGTGACTTTTTTTTTTAATAAGACTCATTTATTTTTTTTCTCCTTGTTCCAGATGGAAAAGAAGAGTTCATGGTTTCTGGTTTGCACAATAGCAGAGACTCAGTAGTCATAAAGGAGACTAATGTGTGGATGAGAAGTGTCAAGCCCCTTGCAAGGCTTTATACTATAAAAAACAAGAAATGAATCCAACAAATGATGATACAGTGCTTGGGACCATATTTGACTGGGACTATCTCTTATGGGAAGTTCGTTTGACGTTTCTAGCTGCTGGTTTTTTAATCTATCTGGGAGTTTTTCTTCTGTCTCACTGGATGTCTTCATGGATGAGTACCACTTATCGTGCCTTGTATGCAAAGGAGAAGGTCTTTTGGAATATGGCAGTTACACGTGGTGTGTTTGGTCTTCAGAGCTGTGTTGCTGGTTTATGGGCTTTGCTCATAGATCCCGTTTTTCATGCTGACAAAGTGTATTCACAACAAAAGTGGAGCTGGTTTAACTGTTTGATAGCTGCTGGGTTTTTTTTGCTTGAAAATGTAGCTGTTCACTTGTCCAATATCGTTTTTAGAACATTTGATGTTTTCTTAGTAGTTCATCACCTCCTTGCTTTTGGTGGCTTGGCTGGTCTAGTACTTAATGTAAAATCTGGACACTATCTACCTTTGATGGGAATGTTGCTGGAGATGAGTACTCCCTCAACCTGCATTTCCTGGATGCTTTTAAAGGTAAGAATTTGATAATTTTCAAATTATGTTTATAATGGTTTTTATGCATTTCACTTGTCCGTAGAAAATCTTTGTGGTTTTCTCTGGTTTTGCAGCAAGACTGTGCTCGTCTAACTGATACCCATGTTGCTGCGATACGTGCTTTTGTCCTACTAATATTTCTGTAGGCCTCTATATAGGTTTCTGTGTGATGCTGTATGCATGCAGATGGTTTGCATTCATTCTGAGCTGGGGATGCTGTATGCATGTGGAATATCATAGCTTTGCAGGAAAAATGCCTGCGAGCATGCGTGGGTAAAAGCTAGGTAGTTGCATTAGTTCTAGAGAGTGCTCACTTCCTTATATTGGAAGTGAGCACTTCCTTATATTGGAGTAACAATCTCACTTTTGCATACTTTCTGTTTTTGTTTTTTTAGGCTGGCTGTGCTAATACCTTTTTCTGGAAGGCAAACCAGTGGGTAATGATCCACCTGTTTCACTGCCGCATGATTCTTACTTATCACATGTGGTGGGTGTGTATTGCCAACTGGAATTACGTGGTGGAAAATCTGGGACTTCTTCATTTTATTATTTTATTTTCGGGATTGTTTGCAGTCACACTAATACTTAACCCGTACTGGACATACAAAAAAACTCAACAGCTTCTCAACCCAACTGACTGGAACTTTGAAAGTAAAGCAGTGAAAAATGGAAAATTAAGTGGTGATACATATCAAAAGAAGAGGATATAACGCTGAAATGGCTGTCTCCTAAGATAATAGTAGAATTCAGCAGAAGAATACAATGCAAAGTAATTATTTGCCCATGAAATAGAAGCATTTGCAAGAAGCTCATTAACACAGTGGTTCCTTGCTGTTAGTATTCTGTGTGCACCAGAAGTATTTAAAAATCGTTGTCTGTATTTAATATATGCATACACATAAGATCTTAAACCTCTTAGTTAAGGATTATGCCAGCAGTTTTTTCAGGTTGGACAGTATTTCATGGTTTAGTACTGACAGGCTCTCTAACGGTGTCTTTTATCTTAACACTTCCAAGTGGCTTTGTAGATAAATTAACTATTAAGATTAACTTGCATCAAATTTAGCATGAATCCCATTTCACATGTGTTGGAGATACTGATGCTGAAAATTATGTTAGGAAGCTTGTGAAAATCAATTTTTACCCCAGTTAGGTATACATAGATACCAAGATCCTGTGTGCCTTTAAAAGATTCTGAGTGATTGCACTCGTCATATTGCAGAATGCAGTTGTAGCTGGGCTTTTGTTGGTGGGTTTTTTTTTTTCAGTTTAAGTGCAATTGAGGGAAAGGATCATTAGAGCGTTCACTGTCAGCGTGAGATATAGTTCCAAGTTGCCCTCAGACCGGGAGGAGTTCATTATCACTGCATGCATGTGGTAAGGAGTGAGGATGCAGATCTTTATTATGCTGGTGGGCTAGCTAGAGGTAATCGTAATGGTTCTTTCTGGATTGGAAATCTGTGGAATCTAGGAGTTGATTGTAAAACTTTTGGCTCTGTTTTATCATTGAAAGGCTTGCTGCTTGATGGGTAAAATATCCTTATTGTTCGTCCCAAATGAACAGTCATGCAGTTCGTTCCACTGATGCTCCTGTTAACGGTGGTTCTTCAGTTTTGGAAATCCTCTGTTGTAGAGATTTTTAGAATCTCGGGTGATTCCTCTTTAGAGGAAAACTTGCTTAATGTCATATAGAAGTTCAGTTGTTCTTTTAGTATTTTATTTTACTTTGAAGGACATATGGAGTGAGGCTAACAATGCTTTGCACTTTATCTGCCACAGCACTAAACCTTTTCTTGACCTAGGGGACAGAGTTGTTTTTTAGATAGAGGCTTCGCAAATTGTAGTGGATGTTATCCTACAGTGTTGGTCTGGTTGTTCCTGGGTGAGATTTTATGTAGCAGATGAAGGTATAAAGATCATGATAGGAAAGAG